TCATCCTTTGTGGACTTTGAAATGTTGTCTGTTTGTGGACTTATGAAATTTGTTTATCCTTTATGGACTTAGAAAGTTTTTCATGTTGTGTGGACTGATTTTTTTTGCTGTGTTGTGGACTTCGTATTTTTCTTGTGTGGACTTAGTTGTTTTTTTCATGTGTTGTGGACTTATAAAATTCTTCATCCTTTGTGGACTTAGATAATTTTCATGTTGTGTGGACTTAGTTTTTGTTTCATGTGTTGTGGACAGAAAATTGTTTGTTCCGTGTAGTTAGTTTTTTTTTTACACGTGTTGTGGACTTAGAGAATTTTTCATGTTGTGTGGACTTAGTATTTTTTTTGTGTGGACTTAGTCAATTTTTTGTTCTTTGTGGACATAGAAAAATTTTCATGTTGTGGACTTAGTTTTTTTTTCATGTCATGTGGACTTCGAAAATTTGTTCATCCTTTATGGACTTAGAAAATTTTCAAGATGTGTGGACTTAGTATTTTTTTTTTGTGTAGACTTGGTTTTTTTTTTCCATGTGTTGTGGACTTAAAAAAATTTTTGTTGTGGAATTAGTTTTTTCCGTGTGTTGTGGACTTATAAAACTTTTCATCCTTTGTGTACTTGGAAAATTTTTCATGGTGTGTGGACTTAGTATTTTTTTGTTGTGTGGACTTAGTTTTTGTTTCATGTGTTGTGGACATAGGAAATTTTTTGTTCCGTGTAGTTAGTTTTTTTTTTACACGTGTTGTGGACTTAGAGAATTTTTCATGTTGTGTGGACTTAGAACAATTTCCATCCTTTATGGACTTAGAAAAATTTTCATGGTGTGGACTTTGTTTTTTCCGTGTTGTGGACTTATAAAATTTTTCATCCTTTGTGTACTTGGAAATTTTTTCATGGTGTGTGGACTTAGTATTTTTTTGTTGTGGACTTATTTTTTTTAATGTGTTGTGGACTTAGAAAATTTTTCTTCCTTAGTGGACTCTGTATATTTTTCATGTATGTGGACATAGAAATATTTTCAGACTAATAAAAGAAAGCATATAATCAATGTCTTTAATTTTCATAAGTTAACATACAGCCATATTGGATTTGGAGAAGCAAAGCATGATGTTGTAGAAAACGGGAGTTTTAGAGCCAGAGAAAATTTCCCATTTTCTTTGATAGTTTCCCATTTTCTCCAAGTGAACAGAAAACGGGATTTTTTTCAAATTCACTATCTTATTATTAAGATAGGCTCCAGCCAACCCTTCTTTTTTTTATAAGTTATTTTAGAGTGTTTATTGAGCAACAAAGGTGATTTTTCAACTGAAAGAAAGTAGTTATTCCAAATTAGTTTTAAGTTAGTATTTTAATGTTTTGTTTGCAAACTGACTTTAACCATATTGTCAATACTGACAATAGGTTTAGTCATAAAGCTCTCTCGACACAGATATCGTGTCTATGGACTAGTCGTGTGATAGATCGACAATGTCCGAGCTTTTGTTTGCAAACAAACATCAAAACACCAACTCACAACCAATGAGGAATAACTACTCTCTCTCAGTTGAAAAATCACCTTTGTTGCTCAATAAACACTCTAAACAACACCACATGTGTTCCCGTGTACCTGTAAGAAAGGGGAGAAACAAAAACAGCATTAAAATTCACACAATAATACAAGTCAAATTATTCAACACATTAACTAATCTCAATATCAATGATCCGTTTCAACATCTTTACTTTACTTAAAATCATTACATCAACTAATCTCAATGATGCGTTTCAACATCTTTACTTATAATCATATTACATCAACTAATCTCAATGATGCGTTTCAACATCTTTACTTTACTTAAAATCATATTACATCAACTAATCTCAATGATGCATTTCAACAGCTTTACTTTACTTTACTTTACATACAATCATATTACATTAACTAATCTCAATTCTTCACACATTACCTTCATCTTCTCGTGCCGCTCCACTTCTTCTGTTGCCCAATCACTTGTCGTCGTCTTCTACCTTATGTGTCACTCAAAATGCACATCAGGCAATAAAGAAAACACAAAATTCAACTCAAATACATATATTCTATACACTTAGCAATATAATACAGTACATCAAACATCATCTTCATAGGGACAACACCTATGCATACACAGAACATCATCTCCTCGGCTCCATACACCCCGGTCACTGGAACCACAGCTATTAGGTTCACAGGACATCTTCTCGGCTCCAGTCACAGGGACGACGGCTAGAAGTTCACGGGACATCTTCTCGGCTCCAATCATAAACAACAGCTATACATTCACTGGACACCATCTTCTCGGCTCCATACACCCTGGTCAATGGTACGACAGCTAGAAGTTCATGGGACATCTTCTCAGCTCCAGTCACAGAGACAACAGCTATACATTCACTGGACACCATCTTCTCGGCTCCATACACCCCGGTCAATGGGACAACGGCTATACGTTCACAGGACGCATTCTTCTCGCCTCCAGTCACAGGGACGACGGCTATACCTTCACAAAACATCATCTTCTCGGCTCCTTACAACGACTTGGCCAAAGCGACTTCGCCCCGTCGCTTCTATCTGAAACCGAGAAAAAACAACAATGGAGGTCAACTCGAAATGGCCTTTTCTATCAAATGCATTATACCTACGAGGCAGTGCACCTGTCGGCTTCGTCGCACTCGGGAAACTCTTCGTGGTGCTCTTCTTATACTACCTACAGTATACACTTCATGGCCACACTTCTAGGCAAACTATCATTTCCCATTGCTCAAATAATTCACCCACAAAAACACTATCTCTTGGTATGGAGCAACCTCCGCGGTTATTCCCGGCTCCGTCGTCGACGTGCCTCTTCCTTTCTTCGCGGCGCATCCTCTTCGTAACCACCAAGGTAAATGCACAATACTTGGTCGTCTCCTTCCTTACTCTTACCACGAGGAACATACCCTGCTCCACTGAAAAAAAACAAACATCCATAATAAACACCATTCCAAAAACGTTCATGCATCCACTCTCCTTCACGATCAACAACACTCTTAGGCATGTCTACCAAAACCAAATTGCTTCCTTTTAAACCGCTACAAATGCCAACTTCTTACCAACATACAAATACTCTACTACAAACCATTCACCAAGGCTAGTACCAATCATTACACAGCCTCCAGTGTGTAACAACAATACTAGCCTGCTACCAACTAACTTCTATACAATTACAATACATACCCACAACAAATTCACCTTTCATCTTAACCAAATTCAAACAAACGCTTCCTCTTTAACACAAACAATCGGCTCCTTACCCTTTCGCTCCCATCTCCGTCGCCGAGTAACCACTGCCTCTTCCACCATCACTGCCGCTTACCATTCCAAAAACTCCAATCCGGCCTAAAAAACAAACAGATCAACACATTAGTTCCCCCCACAACAATTCATAAACCTTTCACGCCCTAAACCGCTCCAACGCCACTCACCAAATATATATATGCCTATACACTAGTCGCAACATTTCTATTACCTGCTACATCCATTCTCCACATACACTAATCCAAAACTAACCTACAATTTACATCACTATACACGTCTTCCAACAATTACATTATACTCAATTTCTTACAACTAAATTCACTATGACCCTAAACTATCACAAACAATTCACGATGCACCACACTACTTATCTTAAACAACTGCCGCCACTGCTGCTACCGCCGCCGCTGCTGCTGCTGATGCCGATGCTGCTGCTGCTGCCGCCGCCGCTACTGCTGCTGCTGCTGCTGCCGCCGCTGCTACTGCTGCTACTGCCGCTGCTGCTTCTCCTCAACACAGTCCATTGCACAGCCCCATACATGTAGTAGGCCACCCTTTCTGCAACCTGGTTACGGCACTACCCACCACCACTCCATCCTCAAACCTGAAAAACAACAGAAACCTTTCACACAACCTCCATAATGCACCATGCTTATTTCTCCCAACTTTAAACATCAATGGGTACTGCTAGCCGAAAAAACTCATATATCACTTGCCTCTTATAACAAACTTTACCTACAACTTTCAAATACAATAACAACTCACCTTCAAATAATACATTGCACAATTTGACATCACCGTATCCAGTGTCGACGCGCTCCTCTCAACAATTCGCCCATATTCCTCCACCACCAACATGAAAACAAAAAACAATACGTCAATGTTACAAAAGCTCTACTTCAAATTATAACAAAGTATAGGTACAACTTCAACAAACAATACTTACACCTTTACTGCCTCTCATTTCCAACATTCAGTCGAGCGTTAATGTCCCTCTGGATTATCACACACACCAATCATGTCTTCTGGACTGCAACAACTCCTGTAGAAAACAATTACCACATCAATAACCACGACCAAAGTCCCTCTTCATTTTCATATCAAACAGACCCCACCTTCAACCACTTAACAGTATACATTACCTTTTAGCACATGCTGCACAGGGCGACTGGTTACAACACTTGGATCCTTTCCAACATCGGCTTCTCCCCCACCTCTGGATGGCGACCATACTTCCTCTTGGTTAGTCGATACAGTCAACACAAGACTATATTCTACTCTAACATTTTTCAATTGCTCATTACCACACTTTTTGAGAAGGGGGAGGGGGGGCCCCCCCCGAGGGGCATCCCCCCTCACCCCCCCTTATTCCCATGCAAGGTGAAGGGCACAAGCGCCTACACCGCCCAACTAGGCAGCATGCCAACTTTGTGCTTGCCTAAAGGATCAAAGCATTTTTTGTCAAGGGCGTACAACCCTCCAGTCTTTAACATTTTATCGGCTAGCTCCGACGACTTTCCCCAGATACGAATTCGCAACTTTCGATTTACAAAGGGTACCTACTTTACTGCTAGGTCAACAGGGACAGAGGGGGTCTAGGAAGTGTGTCCAACCCACTTTCCACCGGCCCGGGAATCGAACCCGAGACGTCTCGCTTGCGAGGCGAGAGCGATACCGCTCTACCGCCGGCACCCCCACTTCGGCTGTGACCCCTTGTGAGGCGGGCGTCAGTCAGCTATGGGTACGGTTCCTCGACTAAGTAGTGCCCTTTCACAGGTTTATACACCTCACTTATGTCTCCCCGTGCCCGTCTCTAGGCACTTTAGGGTGCACTAGAGAACCGAGGACCACCACCAGACCCCAACCTGAAAAAAGGTCATTCGTTATCCATTTATCAAATCTCTCACTACTATATAATAAAATCAATTTATCAAAACTCATTTACATTTTCTTTAATCTACAGCCGAGGCACAAAATTCAACATTTTAAACTTAACATTACCAAACTCAAGCCACAATCATTTATTTTAATGTCAACTTTTAACATTTCTATTGCTCTACGGCACAAGACCAAAAATCTATTTAAAATTTAACAACTATTTTACAAACTTCAACGTCACTTACCCTCACTATTCCCCTAGTCTACCTCAAAAAAATACCGGCTCCTTCCACCTCCAACAACAACCTGAAAAAATGCATTTATTACCTAACCTATAAAACTTACACTAATTCTCAATACAAATATATTAGCCATGAACCACTTCTCAATTTTCATATTACAGCTACTTCTCTTTAGTCAAAAACAACTACACCTTCCATTTTAAATACCATATTGACGAATTCCTCACCGCAAGTGTAGACGCGCTAGACATCACCTACAAACTTAGGCCACGTTCTCTTCTCTATTCCACAGTATAAGCCTTCCGTACACCTGCAATAAAAGGCATCAACCTTCAAAATTTACAACAAACAAGTCAAAATTAATTAAACAAAAGCACATACACAATAACAATTAAGAACACTCTAGTCTGCGTATAAAACTAACACATGAACCATAACAGACAACGAAATACGACCATAAACAAACACACACACAACCGACAGTGTAGTACCATTATATAGCCTCCAGTATATAACAGCACAAACACAACACCCATTCAACAATTTCATTCACCTAAACTCGAAATTCGGGGTCTACCTCTGTGCCGGTCACGTCTCTGCAAAAATCAACCTTTCCCACGCTAGTTGGCTCCAACTTAACGCTCATGCGGCAGCCCACTGCGGCTTCCTTGCGGTTGCTATTTTCTGAAAATAAACTACTACAAAATCTTAAAAAAAACACCCACTACATTTTATGCCAACTACAAAACTCATTAATACAAATTTCTTCACTATTTAACCAAATATACGAACATATCTTAACTTCCCATGAATTTAAATAACAATGATTATTTTATTACAAAAAAAAATCAACCTTTCCTATCTTTAATCATTTTCCTAAAAGTCATACAACCCAAAACAGATCCACCAATCACAATCGCCTTTACATACAGCCTAAGTACTCACAAGTAAAATTGTGAGCACGAGACCCAGGGTCGGGTCGATGCATCTTTAGCCGACTACATTCAAAACGTTCGACTTTACTTTTATCCTCTTCGCCACTGATCGGCTTGTTAGCCGCTTGGGCGATCGGTCACGTCTCTTTTCCTTTATATTCTTCACCAAAAGGTCGGCTCGCTAGCCACCCGGGCGATCGGTCACGTCTCTGTCACGCACTGTTGGCAAATACTGGGCATGCACCGGCTCCTGAATGTACCTGAACCCGCTCCAGTGTTGGTCAAGTCTTCTCTTGAAAGAGCTCACACTCGGTGCCGTCACAACACTCTCTGATAGATTGTTCCAAGAATTTACAACCCTCACTCCGAAAAAGTTTGCCCTCACGGTTTTCCGGACTGGCGGCTTCTTCAATCTTGAGCTGTGACCCCTTGTGGGGCGAGCGTCCGCCAGCTCCAAGCAAGGACACTCAACTAAGTAGTGCCCCCTGAGATGCTTATAAAGCTCAACTAGGTCCCCCCTTGCCCGTCTTTAGTATAAGCTAAGCAAGTTCAGGCGCTCCAATCTCTCAGGCGGCTAGCGAGCCGACCTTTTGGTCAAGACTATAAAGGAAAAGAGACGTGACCGATCGCCCAAGCGGCTAACAAGCCGATCAGTGGCGAAGAGAATAAAAGTAAAGTCGAACGTTTTGAATGTAGTCAGCTAAAGATACATCGACCCGACCCTGGGTCTCGTGCTTTATGCCGCTTATTTTTCATACACTCAAAGCAGGCTACCAATTGGCTCACCCATATCAATATTGTTATTCATGTCAAATCCCAATCTTTACCTCGCTAAAGAAACTAAACATCAATAGTCACTTACCTGCCCTCACCCCTCATTTACCAAAACGTCGCTGTCGGGAGATTTATTTTCTTTTCCGGTTTACTATATGCACAACACCTCCAATCTCCTACTATACGCATCAAAACACACACGTATGGTTTACTACTCGACACACAAATGCTGCATCTTTTTTCTTTCACGATCACTATGAACTGTCCAAGCTCAATGTACACATATATGCTGCATCTTTTATTTTTCTTATCACTCATTTTCAAGATTCCACCACCATCACTTAAAACTGCATTGAACTTCGCATCCAAACAACTTCAGATCGAGACAATATTTCAATAATGAAATTGCTACACAATCTACATGCTCATGAATTCACTTTCCATCACTCACCAACGAGATGACACGATTTCTTGCAAAAACACAACATATTCCGCCAATTTCACAAAGTACACTATTAACACTTCAACTTTTTAAACCACTTAACACGTTAAACACTTAAAGGATTTCATTTCAATTAAACTACCGTCTTCAATTTAAATATCCTGTACTCTAAGAACTTGAATTAAGAACAACTTCAAAATCTCCCTAGTTAACCACAGACAGAAATCTTAAATATGTTTCACAGGCCACAAGTCAAATACTTCTATGACTTGTATTAAAAACCACAGAAAAATGTTTAAGAAAACATTTCCAATGCGGAACACTAACAGCCAAATGTCTAAACACAACTTTAAATACTACACTTTTCATATCTTTTCTTCTTTACAAACTAAAGGAGTTCTAACACCAGACACAAGGATCGGATTGTAACTGATGCATCCTTGCCGGTTCGACCTTTAAATACCCCAAACTTCCCGGCGAACCGTCAAATTATTTGCTCTCTGCTCACCGAACCAGCTCATTCGAATAACTTCAAATTTTCAGCATTTTATTCTTCACCTTGGCGTCAAAGTACAAGGATACATTAAAAAAATCTGGTGTCATCTTCAACATTATTCAAACAAACTCCAACAAAGTCCATTTCATGAAATATAGCCAAAGTTTCCCAGCTCAAAACTGCCAGATTCGTGCTTTCCGGGACCCCGAACTTCTTCTCCGGTAAACACCGTCACAACCAAACGAGGGGATTATCCAGATAAACTGCTCTTGGGTATTTGCACCATAAACATAGGTGACCCACAGAATTTGTGATAAGCTAACGAACCAAAAAGTTATGATAGCAACTCACAGCCTACGGTGGCAGTATCGTAGTCAATAAAGTTTTCTTCCAAGATAGAAATAACAAGATACCCTACAGTCAGTCACTCACATATCCATTCCTTGGTGAGAACTATCAACGGTGAATTTAATAAAGTCAAGACCCGAGTAATGTTTTCCCATTACCGTCAAATACTTTACGTACAGTATATATTTATAACTTAATTAAAACAATGTAAAACAAAAACATCGTGGTAACATTCTATACTATGCCATGTTACGTATACTAATCCACGTGCTACTAAATGTTATATAATAATTCCTTGACATAAATGTACTCTATATTATCAGGTACCACATTTACTCTCTAAGCTACGTGTGACCTGAGACCTGACCCAATAAATCATTATCAAATTGTGAAAGTAAATATCTCTCTAACCATTGCTATGTCAACTAGAAACTGGTCGATGTAAGCCATACCCCATGTAACTAACGAGTATATTATATTCATCCGCAGAGGACAAACAGCACGAGTACGAGTACGAAGTCTTTAGTTAAGAGGTAAAAGAAGATTATTAGGGGTTGAGGGAAAAGTGGTGAAACTGAAATACAGTAGTAGAAACAATCTGGGCTCAACCAGATCGCTTCATCTTTCTTATTGGTGTTTTATCTTTGTTCTGCTCCCTTGGGTCGTCAGACCTTTGTATTAATATTGGTTTATTTATATAATGCTGCTTATTATTATTATTTTTATTATTGTTGGAGTTAGTGAGCCCGCCCAGGTCCTTGTGTAGCTGGGAGGGTAATCACATTTTTTTTTTGGCTAACATGTTAGTTCAATGTTAATTGTTAAATATTAGTTATGTTAGTCTAAAGGTACACTGTATGGAGAGGCCTGCCAGGTTCTTAATACCACTTACCACCAGTGCCGGATTTATTAGACCTGTGGAGGCCCCCCTCATTATAACTACCCCAAGAGGGTGGGGTGGCGAGTGAAGCGAACTTAAACATCTGGGAGTTCCGCAATTCTAAATATCATATTATTAGCAACACAAACAACAGCATTCATTAAAAATAGACGGTTCATAGGAAAACCACCCAGTCGTGAATTTCAACGAGTAGCTAGCCTAATTTCTATCACGTGATAAACATGAATTTTAAAGATTGAAAATAAAATAAACCAAATCAATACAATATTATAATATGTGGAGGCCCCTCGGCAACTGCCCACTCTTGAATCCGGCCCTGCTCACGACTCTACTCTACTTTGTTGTAACGTGTACGTTTTCTTCTCCATTGTTGTAACATATGTCTGTCTTTTGTTAATTTTAGTGTTTCTGCTGTATGGTCAATTTCAAGTAAAGGTTAATATTATTAACTCGGTGCTTTGTTGTTCATTGTTTCTCTCTCTTTGTGATCTTATTTTATTCCTCATATTAACTTCTTTAGGCTATTCTATTTAAGTTTATGACTTTTTTAATATTACAATAGTACTATTTTCATGTATATGTCTCTTAACAATGTCTCACACTTAAAGTGAGGCCAATATTGCTGTTGTAATATATTCACAATTTCTATCCAAGATAAGTAAAGCAGTGAATACGATTTCATAATATTTTCCTTTCACGTTTTACACTACTCTCGTGTCACTATAACGTTTAAATCGTTTACTCATCAAACAACCAAACCTGCCGGCGTTTCGCTCCGGCATGGTGTCACTTTGACGTCATAACAAGGGAATGTTCCCATTGGCTACAACTTAACTTAAAACAGCTTGTGATTGGTCAGGGAGTGTGGGCCGCCTGTATATAAAGCCTGGTAGACGGACGTGAACACAGAACACTGGCACGCGACGACGCTACAACATCTACTGTACAGTAGTGTAAGTGTATCTTGAAATATTTTGCTTGTAAATTATTTGTAGGTGATTGGGAAGCTATTGTTTGAATTTTCACTTGACAAAAAAAAAAAGGTAAATTTTATTAATCTTGATATTAACTAAACTAAACATTTTAAATGAGTTTGGCGTTAAACCATTCCGCCAGGATAACACTACATTAATCTTATTGCTTTTTCTAGAACACGCTCCTGAGACGACCGTGAACCCAATACGAGTTGACCGAGGAAGCTGCAGTCTCGCCACAAGAACAATTCGGAGCTTCTACAAAAGTTGTCTTGGTTTTTACCTATTGCTGGAGAACTCGATCGCAACAATTCCTTTCCTACTCCAGTTCTACCGCGGTTAGAGGATCCTTCCCACAGCATTTTAGTGAGTTTCCTAGTGTTAAACTACAAGCAATTTGTCTCCCAAAAAACTGCTTTCCAGCATCTTTATTATTTCTTCCACCCCATTTGTGGGTCGTGAGCTGTATTGCATTACATTCTGTGCAAGTAAATTCAAACGTGTACATATTGGATGTCCAGTATATGT